TTACTCATGCTAACAACCTTAGCAATATTTACTCATGCTAACAACCTTAGCAATATTTACTCATGCTAACAACCTTAGCAATATTTACTCATGCATGTTAGAACAAACTTCGACTACAACACGCATTACTTGCGAACAGACTTCGACCACACTAGAGTTCGATCCAATGTCTCACAAATCTCCACCTTGGATCTAACTCTATAACATCAAGAAACTAGCTTTCTTCATGCAGATTTATTAACTGCATACAGTGGAAAAACTTGCAACTGGGCAATGTCTTGGTGATCATATCAGCAACATTATGATCTGTCGAAACTTTCAGCACTTGGACTTTTCCACGCTCGATTACCCCTCTGATGAAATGCAGTCTCACATCAATGTGCTTGGTTCGCTCATGATAGGCTGAATTCTTCGACAGGTGTATTGCGCTTTGACTATCACATTTAACAGTGATAACTGGACCTTGAAGTTTTAGCTCCTTTGCAAAACCTTCAAGCCACAATGCTTCCTTCACAGCTTCAGTTAGGGCAATATACTCCGCTTCAGTGGTTGATAGGGCAACGACCTTCTGAAGTGTTGCTTTCCAACTGATTGTTGTCCCAAACATAGTGAACACATATCCAGAGATAGATTTTCTGGAATCCATACAATCTGCATAATCAGAGTCGACATATCCATCGATTGCTGCTTTACTATCTTCACCTAAGGCTCCACCATAAATTAGGACTCTATTTAGAGACCCATTTATGTACCTTAAAATCCACTTCAATGCTTGCCAGTGAGCCTTTCCAGGATTCACCATGTACCTGCTTACAAGACTTACTGCATATGCTATGTCGGGTCTAGTACAGACCATAGCATACATCAAAGACCAATTTGTCTTCTTTTGATTCCTCATAACTTCCTTATAGTCTCTAGGTTCTTCGTCTAGAACCTCACTTGCAGAGATTAAGGCATAAGCTATAAGATCTGCATACCCAAGTCTCTGAGGTGGCTTGATGACTCTCCTCTTCCTGTCTCTTGCTAGCAGGTAGTCATTATCAATCTCTTCATCTTCGACAGCATCTTCTGCGTCTTTTTCGACTTCATCTGGGGTAAGCAATTCAGCATCAACATGCTCCACCTCAACAGGAATCTCTCCTTGTTCCAGCTCTTCGTCAGCATCATCAGTTTTCTTGAAAGCCATCTCTGCTTCGTTGAAAACTACATCTCGACTGGTGATACTCCTCCTGTGACCTGGCTCTAGGCACCATAGCCTATAAGCTTTGACTCCTTCAGGGTATCCCATGAACATGCATTTCAGAGCTCTAGGTTTGACCTTGTCTTGCCTAATATGAGCATAGGCCACACAGCCAAATACTCTCAGTCTGTCGAGACTAGGTGGATGTCCCGACCAAACTTCTTCAGGTGTCTTCATTCCCAAGGCAGTCGAGGGACATCTATTTATCAGGTAAGCTGCTGTCGAAACAGCTTCCGCCCAAAACACCTTCTTCAATCCAACACTAACCAACATGCATCTAACCCTTTCAAGGATTGTTCGATTGAATCTCTCAGCTAAGCCATTTTGTTGAGGAGTACCTGCTACAGTCTTATGCCTTGCAATCCCAGACCCAACACAGTAACTGTCGAAAGCTTTGTTGCAGAATTCAAGGCCATTGTCGGTTCTCAACCTCTTAACCTTTCTGCCAGTCTGAGTTTCGACTAGAATCTTCCAACTTTTGAAATTCTCAAAAGTTTCATCCTTCGTCGTCTGAATGAATACCCATAGTTTTCTGGAATAGTCATCAACGATGGATAGAAAATACCTTGCACCTGAGTGTGAAGGATTCCTTGCAGGCCCCCAAAGATCAGCATGAATGTAATCCAGGGATCCATGTGTTCTTTGCTTGCATTTGTTAAACTTCGCCTTACAGGATTTACCAAATACACAAGATTCACAAAATTCCAACTTTTCGACTTTGTCACCTCCTAGCAGGTTCTGCTTCCCCAATTCGACCAGGCCTCTTTCGCTGACATGGCCCAATCTCATGTGCCATAATTCTGTCTTCGACATAGATTTCGTGGATGCAACATTTGTCGAACCACTTACAACCTCAGCCTCAAGGGTATACAAGCCTTGTTTCTTCACGCCTCTCAAGACTTCCTTCGACCCCTTCATGACTCTTAGGATACTTTTCTCTCCTTGAAAAACATATCCTTTTCTGTCGAATTCACCAAGAGAAATCAAATTTCTCTTCAAGTCAGGTACGTACCTGACTTCAGTCAATAACCTTATTGACTCATCATGGAGCTTGAATCTCACAGATCCAATACCTGCAATTTTGCAAGATTTGTTGTTTCCTAACAGCACAGATCCACCATCTTGATCACATAGCTCCTCGGCCAATTCTCTGTTTGGAGTCATGTGCCAAGTGCAACCTGAATCCACAATCCATTCTTTCCTCGAGTCGCCACTTGAAACCCCAAGAACATCAGATGAGTCGAAGTCATCTTGAACAATGGCTGCATTGCCATTACCTCCATGATCTTTCAGGCGTTCAGGGCACACCTTTCTTATGTGACCCTCCTTCTTACAGTGATAACATCGAATACTAGATGTTTCACCACTATAAGACTTCTGTTGACTTTTACCTTTCTTCTTATCGAACTTACCATCCTTTCGCAAGAATTTTCCCTTAACGGCCAAACCTTCGCCCACCGTCGAAGGTTTATGCTGCTTTCATTCGTTCAAGTCCTTAGAATACAAGGCTGATTGAACTTCTTCAAAGGTCAGGGACTCTCTTCCATACAAGAGAGTTTCTTTGAAGTGAGCATGTGTTCTAGGCAAAGCACACAACAGCAATAGTGTTTGATCTTCATCATCGATCTTCACATCAATATTTTCAAAATCAAGAATCAGCTTGTTGAACATATCCAACTGCTCAGCCAACACTTTGTCTTCACTCATCTTGAATGAATATAAAGCTTGCTTCAGGTATAGTCGATTCACCAGAGATTTGGTCATGTACAAACTTTCAAGTTTCACCCATAATCCCGATGCTGTAGTCTCCTTTGATACCTGTCGAAGAACCTTATCACCAAGGCTCAATAATATTGCGCTGTGGGCTTTCTCGATCATGCCCGTCTTTTCTTTTGCCGTTAACGCAGCGTCCATGGCTGCCTCACCCTTCAACGCTTCCAAACAACCCTGCTGAACCAACAGGGCTTTCATCTTCAAACGCCACAGACCAAAGTCGTTCACTCCGGTGAACTTTTCAATCTCATACTTTGTTGAAGGCATCTTCTCCACGCTCACCGCACCAATTTGTTGTGAATCGGATACCTTTAAACAAAGTATAAACGGTTTCTTAATGATCAAGAAACTCACAAGGGTTAGGGTTAACAAAGAAAACAAGGTAAAACAACAAGGAACAACAAGGATTGGTTATTAAACTGCTATTCTTTCCTTTCTCTTTGAACAAGATTACAAGTATACAAGAATAACAAAATAACCTCTCTCCCTTGAAATTAGGATTTTATCTTCCTATTTTTCCTTATTCTAAGATTGAGAAACTAGCATCCTATTTATAATAAAATAGCACATGCTAACAACCTTAGCAATATTTACTCATGCTAACAACCTTAGCAATATTTACTCATGCTAACAACCTTAGCAATATTTACTCATGCATGTTAGAACAAACTTCGACTACAACACGCATTACTTGCGAACAGACTTCGACCACACTAGAGTTCGATCCAATGTCTCACAATGTCGAACCTTACCACACATCTATTGCAATTATCATAATCTTTGTTATACTTATGTTATTTTCGTGTTGATTTTTAACCACCTAACATTCTGTTTCATACAAAGTTGCATGTCTTATCGCAATTCGATAAAACTTTTCCTTCAACTTGAATGGTACATTTGTATCACATAAAACACATGAAACACTACTCCAATTCAACCACCCTACTTAAATTCATGATTTAATTCCCTTCTATTTCTTTATTATTTTATATTATGAACCCAATATATTTAAAATGTGTCAGGTTAAACATTTCTTCTTTTTTTATCTTATATTTCTTATACTTCTTGACGAAAATCGTATATTTTTAAAATTTATTTCTAAGTTTTCAACCATTCATTAAAATCATATATTTTTAAAGTTCGTTTCTAAGTTTTCAATCTCTCATTTAAATCTCCATAACTCTTCAAAAATAACTATAATATCTTAAGACATGCATGTCAGTGTTAACTCTTTAATATTTTATGTGAATGTATCCAAAATTAAGATTAAAAATTTAGAGTTTAAACTTTAATACAAATTAATTATAATGAAAAAATCGTCTGCTCTCTCTATTTGTCTTTTTATTAAATAAATAAATTCATCAAATCAACAAAGACACTGCGCCATGATGAGAAACTTTTGTTACTTTCCATCTTAAATGCCACCGATACTATAAGTCCACTTGTAATTAGTGAAACAAAATTTCATCGCCTTCTCCGATGACCCATTATGTAAGTTCTTACATAACCAGTTACAAATAACATTTTTTTATAAATATTTTTATGTTTAAATTCTTAACATCAACTTATGTTTATTTAGCACATTCATATCTTAAAGATTTTAAATTATTTTATAGTTTTAAATTTTAAAATTTCATAAAATAATAAAATAACTCCAAATCACATATTACATTGAATTTTATTGATTAATTTACAATATTTTTATAATATCAATATTCGTTCCTAATTTTTTATTTTAAATGTTTTTATGTATTTAAGAACATGTTTCTTTTGTCATGACTATATTTTCATTTGGCAAGTCAAACTCAAGAATATTATTACTTTGATTTGGAAATCCCGAAAAACTATTTATCCCATAGTTTTGGGTTGTGTTGTTGTGATTCTCCTGTTGCTATTGAATTGCAAGAGTAATAACAATGTAAATTATCAGATACCATGCTTTCACCAAGCTTCATTGCTTATATGAAACTCTTCTACCACATTGAATATGGCAGTGACATTGCATCCCCTTAGAATGTTCCTTCAAAATTCACTAATCAATACAAAAAGTACAAAACTTTCATGCAGATTCACCTCTTCCCTGGCTTTTGTTCCAAACCCATATGTGATATTGCGTGATTACAAGTTTTCCGGGAAGTATAGCGCTCGAAACACGAAAATCCTGCATGCCCATTTTCTAAAGATTAATTTTTTACAATCTGGTATCTTCTTCATGAACTCTTTGATTGATTTGTACTGTAAGTCTGCTGACATGGTCGCTGCTCACAAGCTGTTTGATACAATTCCTCTTCCAAATGTTGTTTCTTGGAATGTCGTGATATCTGGTTACAATCGCAGTTCCATATTTGTGAAGTCGTTGGAGATGTTTTGTAGGATGCATTTGTTTGATTTTGAGCCTGATGAGTTTAGTTTTGGGAGTGTTCTTTCTGCTTGTGTTGCTTTGCAGGCTCCGCTATTTGGTATGCAAGTTTTTTCACTTCTCGTGAAAAATGGTTTTCTCTCAAGTGGTTATGTTCAGACTCAAATGGTGGATATGTTTTGCAAAAGTTCAGACTTTGCGGAGGCTCTGAGGTTTTTTAATGATGTTTCGTGTGATGATGTGGCAAGTTGGAATGCTATTATTTCGTTGGCGGTTAAAAATGGAGAAAACCAGGTTGCTTTGAATCTGTTTCGTGAAATGTGTTGTGCATCTTTAATGCCAAATAGTTATACATTTCCAAGCATCTTAACTGCTTGTTGCGCGCTTAAAGATATGCAGATAGGGAAAGGGGTTCATGGATTGGCGATCAAATGTAGTGCGATGGATGTCTTTGTGGAGACTGCTATCGTTGACTTGTACGCGAAATTTGGATGTATGAACGAAGCTTATAGACAGTTCTCTCAGATGCAAGTCCAAAATGTGGTGTCTTGGACTGCTTTAATTTCTGGATTTGTGCAAGAGGACGGTACTGCTTTTGCACTAAAGCTTTTCAAAGATATGAGGAAAATCGGTCAAGAGGTAAATACCTATACCGTTACTAGTGTACTTTCTGCATGTGCTAAACCTGAGATGATCGAGGAGGCAAGAGAACTTCATTCTTTGGTAATAAAATTAGGGTTGGTTTTGGATGATAAGGTTGCAGCTACTTTAGTCAACATGTATGCAAAAATAGGAGAAGTTGGATTATCCGAATTAACCTTCAGCGAGACGAAAAATACGAAGGATCCGAGCATATGGGCGTCGATGATGTCTTCTTTTGCTCATAACCAAAATTATGGAAGGGCACTTGAGTTATTCACTGTAATGTTCGGAGAAGGAGTGAAACCTGATGAGTATTGTATTTGTAGTTTGTTAAGTATTATGAGCTGCTTAAGTCTAGGGTCTCAGGTGCATGGTTATATTTTAAAATCCGGGTTAGTGACCGATGCTTCTGTAGGTTGTTCGCTTTTTACAATGTACTCAAAATGTGGTTGTTTGGTAGAATCCTATAAAGTTTTTGAACAAGTACTTGTGAAAGATAATGTTTCGTGGGCGTCCATGATTTCTGGTTTTGCAGAGCATGGATATCCTGATCAAGCTCTTCGACTATTTAAAGAAATGCTATATCAAGAAATTGTACCTGATCAGATTACATTAATCTCGACTCTAACTGCATGTGCTGATCTTCGTTTCTTGCGGACAGGTAGAGAAATTCACGGTTATGCTTCTTGTTTAGGACTAGGAAAAAGTACAGTTGTTGGTGGTGCACTTGTAAACATGTATTCTAAGTGTGGAAGCTTGAGTTTGGCAAGAAAGATGTTTGATATGCTTCCTTCTAAGGATGCATTTGCTTGCTCTTCATTGGTCTCAGGATATGCCCAAAAGGGTTTAATCGAAGATTTGTTTTTGTTATTCCATGATATGCTTCAAAATGATGTACCGGTCGATGCCTACACAATTTCATCCATTCTTGGGGCTGCTTCACTTTTGTGTCAATCAGAAATTGGAACTCAATTGCATGCCTACATTGAAAAGATGGGATTACAAGCCAATGTCTCCGTTGGAAGTTCGCTAGTGACGATGTACTCAAAATGTGGAAGTATCGAAGACTGCAGGAAATCATTTGACGATGTTGAGAAGCCTGACCTAATAGGTTGGACATCGATCATAGTGAGTTATGCTCAACACGGTAAAGGTGCAGACGCTTTAACTGCATATGAACTTATGAAAAATGAAGGAGTTCAGCCTGATGCAGTAACTTTCGTTGGGATTCTATCGGCTTGTAGCCATAGTGGGCTACTCGAAGAAGCCTTCTTCTATCTTAATTCAATGTTTGATGACTACAACATTGCGCCAAGTCATCGTCATTATGCTTGTATTGTTGATCTCCTTGGTCGATCGGGTAGACTAAGAGAAGCTGAAAGTTTCATTAACAATATGCCTGTTGAGGCCGATGCGTTAATATGGGGAACTTTGCTTGCTGCTTGTAAGGTTCATGGTGATTTTAAGCTCGGGAAGTTAGCAGCTAAAAAAGTAATTGAATTGGAACCAAGTGATGTCGGTGCTTATGTGTCGTTTTCAAACATTTGTGCAGATGGAGGACAGTGGGAAGAAGTCACAAAGATTAGAAATTCATTTAACAGAACTGGGATGAAGAAAGAACCTGGTTGGAGCCTTGTGTGAAAAGCAATGATGTCCTGATTGCTGACCTTGTAGAAAGCAAATATGCAATTCACGGCGATACATCGACAACCTTCCTCGATCAAAGCCATACTTGTTGGTAATTTAGATCTTAATGTCTCGGATTGAGCTAATCAAAACTTTCAACTGTTGAGAGAAATTGTCTCCGTCAAAATCCATGCTAGTAAGGGATGTTGCTTTGTTCAATTTGAGACTAGTTAGTTACATGTTACCTTTGAAAGAAGATTGTTCCATCCAATTTTGTTCTGCTTTGATTTTAATAGGCTTGTTGTAAAAAAGTTATATGGTTAACTCGGTAATTATTCTGGACTGGGCCCCGGCTTGACCGGGCAGGCCCAGCCCAATGCTACTTGGGAAAGTCCAAATAGGCCCATACCACGTACGTCGAGCATAAGGATTCTCCGTCGAGCAGACGCTACCCTCCGCGGGCAGAACCTTCCCTCCTTCGAGCAGAACAACGTGTCCTCCACGCGTTCTCCACGTGCTCCCCTCTGCGGGGACACGTCCTTGTCCAACCACCTACCTCTGCGAGAGTTGGTCAACCCACCTTCCGGAGATCACGGGACGGTTGAACTAGGGCGAAGACCACGTGCTAGTCTTCACTACGCCACGTAATCCCTAACAGTCACTTGGGTTGGGCCTGACAATCCAGCCCAACACAAGTGACCGTTGCCCTGCGCTGAAGTCTCACTATAAATACCCTCTTTCACTAGAGGGTCAGGTATTCAATTCTATTCTCTACACCTTCTCTCTGTATTTGCTTCACTCTGATCCTTTCTCATTTTGGCATCGGAGTGTCTTGCAGGTACACCCCCTCCTCCTTCCTATCACCGGTGAACAGGCAGTAGATCAAAGACGCGTGGCGGTCCAGTGATTCCCTTCTGATCAGGTCAGATCAGTGGCGCCGTGAAGATTGGGGTGGGGCTGCCCGACCTCGCGAGGAAACAACTAGAGGCCTGCCTCTGCAAGAATGCTGATCTCTTCGCCTGGAGCGCTGTGGAGATGCCCGGACTCGAGCCCGAGATCGCCTGCCACCAGCTCTCCGTCAACCCGACCGCTAGGGCCGTAGTTCAACGTAGGCGTAGGCAGTCCCCCGAAAAGTCAGCGACGACTGAAAAAGCTGTAAAAGACCTCCTAGAGGCAAATTTTATTTCGGAAGCCCGGTATTCAACCTGGCTCTCCAACGTTGTACTCGTCAAGAAAAATAATGGAAAATGGAGGATGTGTGTTGACTACACGGATCTTAACCGGGCATGTCCCAAGGACGCCTACCCCCTCCCCAACATCGACAAGCTCGTCGACAACTCGGCAGGTTTCAAACTCCTGTCCTTCATGGACGCGTACTCGAGGTACAACCAGATATCCATGGCCGAGGCCGACAAACAGAGCACGCCTTTCATGACCGAATCGAGCAATTACTACTACAACGTAATGCCCTTCGGCCTAAAAAATGTCGGCGCCACCTACCAGCGGATGATGAACAAGGTCTTCCGAGGAGAGATCGGCGACATGCTCGAGGTCTACATGGACGACATGATCCTCAAGTCCTGCACGGAAAGCGACCACACGACACATCTCAAGAAGGTCTTCGAGACAGCGAGGAAATGTCGGATGCGTTTCAATCCAGAAAAGTGTAACTTCGAGGTGCACGCGGGAAAGTTCCTCGGGTTCTACCTTACCGAGCGTGGGATCGAAGCAAACCCGGACAAGTGTCGGGCCTTTTCCGAGATCGCAACGCCGAGATCGAAGAAATCGATACAGTCCCTCAACGGGATGCCTGCATCACTTTCCCGCTTCGTCGCCAAGTCCGCGCAGCATGCCCTCCCTTTTTTCAAACTACTGAGAAAGGAAGCCGCTTTCGAGTGAATAGAGGAATGCGAGCAAGCCCTCCTCCACCTCAAACGCATCCTGTCGGAGCCGCCCGTGTTGACGCGGCCAGAGGCCGAGGAAACCTTGTACCTGTACCTGGCCGTAGCAAACGAAGCCGTCAGCGCCGTACTGATCCGAGAAACCCCCGGGGGGCAGAAACCGATCTAGTTCACGAGTAAAGCCCTCCACGGCCCAGAAGTGAGGTACCAACAGATCGAGAAAGTCGTCTTAGCCCTCGTCAACGCGTCCAGACGACTCCGACACTATTTCCTGGCCCACACCATCGTAGTCAGAACCGAGCAACCTGTTAAACAGCTGCTCGGCCGACCCGACATGGCGGGGCGCATGCTGAAATGGTCGCTGGAGCTTTCCGAGTTCGACATCACCTACGAAGGCAGAAAAGCCCTGAAGGTCCAAGTCCTGGCCGACTTCGTCGCTGAGATGACCCCCGCACCAGAATCAACCCCGGGCACTCAGAAATGGACCATCTTCGTCGATGGCGCCTCGAGCTCCTCAGGAAGTTGCGCGGGCATCATCCTCGAAAATGAGGAAGGCACTGTCGTGGAAGTCTCTCTGACACTAGCCTTCCCGACGACGAATAACCAGGCAGAGTACGAGGCCTTCCTGGCCGGCCTCCGCCTAGCAGAAGATCTCAGAGCCAAGGAGATAAAAATCTTCACGGACTCCCAGCTGGTCGCTTTGCAAGTACGGGGAGAATACCAAGCGAAAAACGACAACCTGGCCGAATATTTAGCCCTCATAAGAGAGCGGATGAAGAGTTTCGACTCTGCGGAGGTCCAACATGTGCCACGCGAGCAGAACACACGAGCTGACATCCTGTCGAAATTGGCGAGCACCAAGAAGAAGAGCGGGCACAAATCCGTCATTCAAGAGATCCTCGCGCAGCCAAGCACGGAGAGAGCAAAAGCGCTGCCTGACGTCAATGCCATCGGGGACGCCAATTGTTGGATGACTCCCATACACGCCTACCTCGACAGGGGGAGCCTCCCCGCCGATGCGAAGGAAGCCAACACCGTCAAACGACGATCTTGCTCGTACGTCCTGCTCGACGACAAGCTCTACCGCAGAGGCTTCTCGATCCCACTCCTCAAGTGCGTTGACCAAACCCAAGCCTCGGTCATCTTACAAGAGGTCCACGAGGGCATCAACGCGCAACACCTCGGAGGAAGATCCTTGGCAAGGAAAGCCCTGCGAGCTGGGTATTACTGGCCGACGATGCAAGAAGACGCAAAAGAGCACGTCAAAAAGTGCGACAGGTGCTAGCGGCACGGGGACATGCACCTCGCTCCTCCGAGCGAGCTGCCTGACGTCAATGCCATCGGGGACGCCAATTGTTGGATGACTCCCATACACGCCTACCTCGACAGGGGGAGCCTCCCCGCCGATGCGAAGGAAGCCAGCACCGTCAAACGACGATCTTGCTCGTACATCCTGCTCGACGACAAGCTCTACCGCAGAGGCTTCTCGATCCCACTCCTCAAGTGCGTCGACCAAACCCAAGCCTCGGTCATCTTACAAGAGGTCCACGAGGGCATCAACGCGCAACACCTCGGAGGACGATCCTTGGCAAGGAAAGCCCTGCGAGCTGGGTATTACTGGCCGACGATGCAAGAAGACGCAAAAGAGCAGGTCAAAAAGTGCGACAGGTGCTAGCGGCACGGGGACATGCACCTCGCTCCTCCGAGCGAGCTCAAATCCCTCTCCTCTCCTTGGCCGTTCGCCTGGTGGGGGATGGATATCCTCGGCCCGTTCACCTTAGGCTCGTATCAGAACAAGTACCTGATAGTGGGCATCAACTACTTCACCAAGTGGGTCGAGGCCGAAGTCCTCGCCAAGATCACGGCACACAACATACTCCGGTTCTACAAAAGGAACATCCTCTCCAGGTTCGGAGTCCCGCTCGCCATAGTCACCGATAACGGGACACAGTTCACCGACAAAAAACTTCCGGGACTTCGTCACCAAACTCGGAACCAAACACCACTTCACCTCGGTCGAACATCCACAGACAAACGGCCAAGCCGAGGCCGCGAACAGGGTAATTCTCCGAGGATTAAAACGAAGACTCGGCGACGCCAAGAGAGGATGGGTCGAGGAGCTCCACAGCGTGCTCTGGGCGTATCGAACAACGCCTCACTCAACCACCGAGGAAACCCCATTCCGCCTCACGTACGGAACTGAAGTCGTGATCCCAATCGAGATTAGGGAGCCGTCCAGAAGGACTGAGGCGACCCTCGAAAAAGAGGCCAACGACGAAGTTCTCCAGGAGGAGCTCGATCTAGTCGAAGAGATCCGATCAGGAGCGGCTTTCCGCGAAGCCAGGTTAAAACAAAAAATAGCCCTACGCTACGACAGCAGAGTCCTAAAATGCGAGTTCCAGATTGGCGACCTGGTCTTACGAAGAAACCAAAAGGACTCACACGAGGGAAAACTTGCCGCAAATTGGAAAGGCCCCTATCATGTTCGAGACAAGACAGAGCACGGTGCCTACTGCCTCAAAAACCTTCACGGGGACCAACTAGCTCGACCATGGAACGCTGAGAAGCTGAAAAAATACTACAGTTAAAACGCTGTCCGCGATGACACACGTCGCGACCACAGGAGCGCGACATGGTACATCACACCTCCTCGAAGCCAACGAAATAGCAAGCCTCTACCTTTGTGTGCGCAAGAAGAAGGCTCTGCTCGACGGAGAACCCCTCGACCGAGACTCCCCGTCGCTGTACCATGCTCGGCAGAACACCCAGCTCACGATGGGACGTTCATGCCGCGGGGACTGGTCCACGATCGTGGTCCACCCCCTTAACTGACCAGGTAACCACCCCCGATCACCCCGGCCAGTTCCCTAAACTACCGGGCGCAATTATCGTCGAGTTACTCCCCCCAAAACTACTAGACAACATAGTAAACATACATTTCGAGCATACAAACATGCATAAATAAAACAGGCATATCAGCATACAAACACAAACGAGCGCACACTTAAACAAAACAAAATATTGTATTATCAAAGTGGGCACCAGCCGATTAGTCAATTACAAACCCAAAAAGGGTACGCAGGCCCGACAAAAACACTTAAGCAAAAAATAGCA